ATTTGATTTACTTCGAGTAAGCCATATTTGCGAAATAGCGGTTTAGTTGGGAGATTTTGGGACCTACCTTTATAATTTTCAAAATATCGTAGAATTTTTTATTTTGTAAGATGTTCAATTTGCTATAATTGGTGGCCGATCTGGTGCCCCTATACTAAAATACAATAACATAGCTTAGAGTAAAATAATGCGTAATATATATTCTGTTTTAGCCACAAAGGTATAAATTTTTTTTATCTTATAAATACATCCAATGCCTCGGGATAGCTCAGAGCTCAGCTTATTTATGTGCGTCTTCCAACTTAACTCTAGATTAAACCACACACCAAGAAAATTTTGCTCTGTAACCTCCTCTATAATTTTATTTTCGAAATATTTTCACCTTAGTGACCTTAGCAGGAGGTGGCTGGTGTGCGCCCATTTTCCAAAGGTCTCGTACCCCGAATCGGTGCAGCATCGCTGGTGTCATGGCACTGCTCGTTCGGAGATGGTGAATGGCCGTCCGATGGTCCCCGCTCCCTGGGAAGGCCTAGCGAGGCGGTCTCCTTCCGCGTACGTACCTCCCTCCGGGATGCTGAACTTTGCCCGCCCGGGCCACCAGGAGCTTTGCCTCCTCGAGGGAATCCACACTGGACAGCGTGGATGCGGATCGTCGTGTACGAGCTTGGACGGTTGGTCGGCCTTCTCGTTCCTAGCAATGTTGCAGTGACTAGGCACCCACTTTAAAGGCGAGGCCCTGGCCGGTGTCAGCGTGAAGTGTTTAGTTTCTGTGCCGACTTCCAATTTGAAGAAGGTTTATGTTTGCTTTGTGCGCTCGTCGTTGAGTGTTTCCGGCAGCTTCACTTGTCATTCTAGGTATACCACCGGTCTCGTGTTACATGTTTCGAGTCATCGTGAGTGTATTGCACCTGCTTCATGCTTTCAACAGGTGTTGGATCTTACCTTGCCGGTTTCTAGCTTCTGATCACCGTGACGCTGAAACTTCCAAAGTTTTTGTCTTGTGAAATGCGTTCAACAGAGAGGTTTTAAGTTCCATCTTGTATTTGATATAGGCTCTGTTGATGCAATAACAAACGTACACATTCACATATTCCATAAAGTACGTTTCCTTAAAGACCGCCGCATTCGCAATTTGGAACATTCCATCACTGGCAGTCAGACGTCATCTGTGGGACCATCAAAGTGCGTTCTACTGGGGGGCATTTTAACTGGAAATCAGTGTCCCAAAGTATGTACTTGATAGAATCTTTTGCAGGGGTTGGGGTCATATCCAGCAGACGCGAGAATTGATAACGTATAAGTCATAAGGTGCGGAATTGCAACTGCCATCAAACGCCTGCGTGCTAACTCAGCTTGTAGCGACAATAACATCTCAAACCTTTTTCCTAAAATTACCAAAAATAAATTCTATATTTTCTTGTGCCACCTTTTTGAAGCATTGCTTGATTTATCGGAATTCCCTCACGACTAGAAAATTTCAGAAGTAACTCTCGTGTATAAATTTGGAAAGCGTTTGAATACATTTACATGCAGACTCATCTCTCATACAAGTATCACATGTAAAATATTCGAGCACATCATCTACTCGCAAGGCATGAACGGCCTTAAAAACTTCAGGTGTCTTAACCATCACTATCTTGACGTTCGTAAGCAAATATTTCTTGTTATAATATTTCTTTAAATTTGTTTACTCCTAAAACTTGCTCAACTAAATATAAAAATCATGTCATCAGTTCAATTTTATTCTTTCTTACTAATCGCTAGCAGTCTTTTCTATTTTTTATAGATGACTCCTCATCCTTCAACCCTTACTCTGAAATCCGGAGTTCCCCAGGGCAGCGTAATGGGACAACTTTTCTTTCTCATCAACATAAATGACCTACCCTCACTAATCTCTCCATCTGCGACGCGTTTGATCGACGATTGTATTTTATACAGCCAATGTTTTTTGTTCTATAGGTTTAAAAAAAATGGCATCGAGACATTAACATCCTGGGAGAAGGGTTCTTAAAATGGCAAATAAACATTAATGTTGCTAAGGCCCAACCTAATTTATTTTAATTCTTATATACAATACATTTCTTTCTGCTCAATTTTCTTCGCTTCAATTTCATATGTTCCTTGATATAAGTACCGATGTATAAATTGTACCGAATATCAGACTTGGAATGCTCACATTGATTATATAAATCTCAAAGCATCGAGAACTCTTCGATTTCTTAGAAGTCATTTGTACTTAGCACAACAGGACCCCTACTAAAAACATTTCGCATCTTTATGGAAATGAACGGGTGCATAACGGTAACCGTTTAGTCATACCGGTCTTCCTTTTGTCAAACGGGTCAACCGTTTGAGCCATTCCGGTCCCCCTTTTTGGTGATCGGGTCACTCGTTTGGGCAAAGGAGCCGCCGTTTGTTCAATCGGGTGACCATGTCCAAGCGGGTGACCGGTGTTCGGCTAACTGCACCGGTTTAAACAAACGGCTCTCCCATTACGCGGTGTGCCCGTTTGACACTGAAGTACAGAGCGGCCGCACGGGCGCGTCTGTTTAACCCGCATGCAGTTTCCAGCGAGCAGTTTTGATTGTCAGTGCACATGTCATCAGTGGACCCAAGGCAACAACATTGCAATCGCGACGCGAGAGCCTACTGCGCCTTGATATGGCCAACCGCGCTCGCTCTGCTGCAATGTGAGCGTGGGACTGTCGAATACCGTTAGCTTGCAGACGATGCAAGACGCTGCTTTGTCGTCGCTAATCCTTTGCCTTTCGAACGCCTGCGAAGCCGTTCCAGCGCTCGGCGTACCCAACGCAGCGCCTCTCAATAACGGCTCGCGCAGCGTTGCAACCTTCTGTTTGTGAGCTCTGGCATTTCATTGCGACGGAGGCTCATGTTCGCGGGGGTTTATAAAATGCTCTTTCCTGTACCCTTTCCACCCCTCCTCAAGAGCTGCGCTCAAATTTGGCATTACAGGGAGTTGTAAACGGCTTTCATTTTAATCTTCTCGCGTCATGCTGCGAGAGCCCCAGCATTCTTCTTCTTGGCTTCCTTTAGTTTTTCTATAGTCCGACATAAGTTGTGCACTTGAAACGTCGCTTGCTTGCTTCCTTGTTCTTTTTGCGCGTCTCATCTCCCACGTGTTAAGTTTTCTGCCCACCTTCACGTGCCGGCAGCACCCCACACTCGGGCGTTAAGAATTAGGCAATTTAAGATAAAAAAAAACAACCTTATTTACTTTCTTATACTTCTAGAGGTGTTGAACCGTAAATACCGTCCTTCTTCGGTAACAGGTCTTGCATGTAACAGTTGCTGTGGACCCTACGCAAGCACTATGAATAAGCGAGACAATTAAGGCCGAAGTACTCATTTTCAGAACGCAACAGGAATGCTAACTGTATTGCGTGCGCACGCAACATTGGGCAGTTTACGTTGCGGGTCTCGCGGGATTCACGGCAATGTGCGGGAAGTTATCGACAGCGATTTATTTCAGCGAGTGCACCGGTTTTAGCGAAGACCACAGCATGCAGCTAGACCAGGTGTTTTTTGCGTTAGCTTCGTTGTTACCTATACTTTGGCCCTCATACGTAAGGTGGAGCTCGTTAATTTTTCCCGGGGCCCACCGCGGACGAGGCAGATGGCGTTCCAGCTGCAGGAAAGCTAAGTGAACCCGTTCGCGGCCCGCGCAGTGCGTCGTAGTTTCGTTTTGCTCACCCCCCATTTCGTCGCCCACGATCGGACTATACTCTTCATACAACCACCAAAAATATCGCGCTGTACCGGACATCACTGGGTCAGTGCATTTCCTACTATTGCGATAGGACATAAAGAATCGCACTTGATGATTCACGGAGTCATCGTCGATGTATTTCGCTACGCACTCACACTTCGTTACTCATGCACGTGAGGGTTTCCGGAGTAGCCTCTATATGCACCTCAAAAGAAGCGGCTGACTTCGCAGCTCTAGTTTGAGTTGGTTTCAACCGAAATATTGGGTGTCCTTTTTTTGCAGTAATTTCTGGAGCGTGATAGATCTGGAAGCACGTGTAATTAAAGCAGCAGGAACATGCAACGGGTCCACTTGGCAACGTTCACAGAACGGACAACTAAAATCGGACTGAGGTTTTTTTGCGGCGTACGCCATACTTTCGCATATCGATTGAGCATGGGTCATGAACGCTCTTCTAAGGCTCATTACTGCCGTGAGTATGTTTCCACTTATTAAAAGATTCCACACTGTTGCTATTTAGTATTTTGTTTAGCAATCTTTTTTTTACTTCCACTCTTGTCCTCATTTGGTTTGTATAGCGTGTGGCCTTAAAAATAAATATGTAATTATGTTCTCTACTCTTCATTAGAATGTACTTGCCGAACAATTAGGCTTCATTAACAATATTCAGAGCAGTTTTTTTTTTTGGTGGTAAGACCATTATTCCCTAGCATTTTTTTTGCGTTTCTGCTAATGGGCTTTCATTTAAATTCTAGTTTTTATACTATTTTAGATTTTACTGCTTCAAGCTCTGCGACATATTCAGAAAAACTTTGAACTAATGTTTTAATACACTGAAAGTAATGTTACAGTAGATTCGCCTGATTCTTGAACGCAATTTGACCATATCTGCTCACCTCAATCATTCATATTCCTTTTTGAGAATTCCACGATAAAAAGATTATTCAGGTGATATGATGTTGTAATCAGACAGTACCTGTTGGCTGGGCAAGCTGAAAGCAATAGGTCAACGTAAATTGTATGATCTGCATGCTTCACAAAGAAGTACTGCGTGAAAACTCAGCGACGACAAAGTTAAGCACTGTTTTAATGTATAAAGAGCGTATTGGTGCGGGTAAACATTGAAGACGACACCGCCACATTAAAGATTGTACTTGATTGATCTTTTTGCCACAAACCGTGCACGTCTTTGAATGAGTGCTTCGAAACAGGACTCAATTTGAACTCTGATATTCTACACGTCCTCATGCAATTCAGATGGTACATGATAGCGATGGCTGGCGAGATTGATATGTTGATTTTACAAGCCGGTATACGTCAAGAAGATTGTGATTAGTTAAGATTTCTTTTATTAGCTGAAGAGCCAAGCTACCCTTTGAACAATTAAATTAAAGTGGACGGTGTCCCGGGTTTCGGCGCCAACTATTGAGGGACTAAAGACTACGGAGGCATAAATCTAAACGAGTGGGTTTGCGTGACTTTTTTTAATAATCGTACTTTGACTATCCGTCCCGTGCTCCCCTACCTCTTCTTTTTCTTTTCGTTGCAACAGGCCTTTCAGAGCGAACGAGCAATTCCAAGTAGATTCGTTTTGAAGGGTAGAAGAGAATGACCTCTTCTCTGAATTCCTTCGCGTAGCCTTATTACTATTTAAATGCGAAAGCATTAACTGTCCCGTAGAGCGAACCGACGTTATCAGCTTTTGAAGCCGCACCAAAATGCACCTTCCCTTGTTCCATAAGGGCGAAGCCTGTCGTCTGTAGCAAAAATCTGATGGATAGGCTCCCATTGGCGGGCGCGCGTCATAGTTTCAAAAAAAAAAAAACTCCCATTGGCTCTCGCGTGACGTAGTTCCGGGGAACACCACCAAGGAAGCCCTCTCCATGGGGGCGCTGCGGCCCGGCCGCCGGTAAGAGAAAGAGGCAGGGCACGGAGCCAGCACAGCCCGCTCGGGCAGACTCCGGAGAGGCTGCACGTCCGAGCTCAGCGCAGCGCAGCAACTTCACGAGAGCGCGCACTAGGCCGCCGGCCGCAACCTCGAAAGTTGCGAAACGCGGCCGTCCATGCGAGTAGGCAGCAGACGAACTAAGGCAGCGGAAGAACGACATTCACGCTTTCACATTAACTACTCACAAGAAGTGCTTAGGTATCCTAGATTTTTTTTAATGACACAGCTCACTTCTAAATTTAGGAATTCAATTGCCACAAACACCCGAAAGGTAAGAAAGCCTTGTGTTCTTGTGTGTTGTTTCAGTACCACGAAATGTGAAGTATTCGAAGGTGCAACGCTTCTATCAAGATGAAGTCATCTTTATCACAGGTGCAACTGGTTTCCTTGGAAAGGTGCGTACTACTGCTCTAGTCAATCAAATAAAAACATGAAAGAAAAATACGACATATGCTCACCTTCAATATTGAAAAAGTCTGGAAGGTGTATCTGTAAAAACTATTAATTATGAGGTGTTTCTATCTAGTGCAAACTAGTCCGCTTCCAGTTAGAAAATGTTTTGTTATGAAATGATGACTCTTCGGCGACTGCTTAGAATAAGGATATTTGGTCGTGTCTTTTTGAGAACCCAGTATTCAAATTAATGTAAATTTGCAGGAAACGTTATTTACACCCTACCATTTGAAATAATATTTCTACTTTAAAAACCAGTGAATCTTCTGGAAGAATCCTATAGATAGTTACAAACCAAAGTATATGCTGCAAGAACATTTTAAGAGTGGGCTTGCTGACGGAACCTGCTTCAGTTCTTACTCTAGGCGCGTGGGAAAAAACATGTGATATAACCGTTGGAATATTGATAATTACAGTTGGGGGTTTTGTTATTACAAATATTTTTGTCAAATATCTTTTGTTCAAAAAGCTGTCAAGATGCCTGCCAAGGCGTTGTGGTAAAATGCATTTCTGTATACATTCTGATATTCTGCTCTACTTAGGTAATGTATGGAGGAATACAAGTGCTGATAAAGACTATCCTTCCTCTATATTGTCACGAATGACATTTGATGAGGCAAAGATAACTGAAGAAACTAAACGTTTAATGAGGCGAACTTGTGCCCATAACAAAAAAGGGAACAGAAGAAAACAGCAGAGCGTCGCGGGCGTCGATGTTGGCGGAACCGCAGGATCGAGCGCAGGGGCGAGACTGACTCCGCTCGCTTTGCGGAGTCCCTATGTACACTCGCTGGTTTCTGGATCATTCAGCGTAGACCTTTCGGTGCGTAGAACGACCGGAACCCGATCAGGCGAGAATGTTCTCAAACTTACGAGAAGGCCAAGTTGAAAGAATAAATAAAATGACTGTTCGCTGACTGGAATTGAACCTACACTTTCCGCGCGCAAGTCAAGCCCGGTAACCACTCGGCCACGCACGCGCTTGCTCGCCAACGTGCGTGGCATTACTCCCCTTTTAAAAGCGCATCATCTCGATGCGATGTGCCAGGAAACAAAAAGAGCAAAACAACCAAAAATATTGGCAAACTACGTAAACTTGTGCAATACCATCCTATCGAGCGTATTACAAAACACAATTTACAGTCCTAGCGATCGTAGTACGGCTTGAGGCGCACGATGCGGACGACTTCCGGTCGTGAAGGACGGCGTGATGAAGTCCGTGTTCCATCGGGCATCACCTCGTAGTTAAGATCTCCAAGTCGACGAAGCACTTTGTGGGGTCCGAAGTAGCGCTTCAGGAGTTTCTCGCTTAGGCCGCGTAGTCGTATCGGGGTCCAAACCCACACACGGTCTCCGGGTTTGAAGCGAACGTCGATCCGGAGAAGGTTGTATCGGGTAGCGTCGAAACGTTGTTGACCTTGAATTCGGAGCCGGGCGAGCTGGCGAACTTACTCGGCTCGTTGAGCAACAACCTGGGAGTCGGGGCTTCTATCGTCAGCTAATTCGTGGGGTAGCATCGCGTCGAGCATGGTCCTTACTTTTCTGCCATCCACCAGTTGAAACGGTGTTACTCCTGCGGTCTCTTGTACCGCCGCGTTGTAAGCGACCATGACGTAGGGTAACACCTCGTCCCGAGTCCTGTGCTCTACGTCGACATACATAGAGATCATGTCGGCGATAGTTTTGTTTAGCCGTTCTGTTAGTTCATTTGTCTGTGGATGGCACACAGTCGTTCGACGGTGGCCGGTGCCACTGAGACGACGGATCTGTTGCGTCAGCTGGGCCATGAACGAAGATCCATGGTCTGTAATGAGGACTTAAGGGCCGCCGTGCCGGAGGACAATGGACTCGATGAAAAACTTGACGACTTCAACAACCGTGCCTGCTGGAAGGGCTTTCGTCTCGGCGTACCGTGTCATATACTCGGTGGCGACGATTATCCAGCGGTTTCCCGACGTTGACGGCGGGACAGGGCCAAGTAAATTAATTCTGCTGAAACGGCATAGACGGAGGAGAAATCGGATCCAGAAGTCCTGACGGCTTCGTCGGCGGTTTCTTGCATCGCTGACACTCGTGGCATGATCGAATGTAGAGGTGAACGGTCTTCGGTAGCCTCGGGCAGTAGCACGTTTCTCAAATCCTGGTGGGCATCCTTGTGTAGCCAAGGTGTCCAGCCGTTGGGTCGTCAGGGCATTCTTGGAAGTCTTCGTCTCGAAGGCTGGCAGGAATAACCAACGGCCATGCTGTGTTGTTGTTGACGAAGTTCTCCTTGTACAGCACCGCTTGCCGCATGGAGAAGGTATGCAGGATTCTTAAGAAAGCATGGGGAACGGTACAGTTCAGGGTCGTCTCGTCGGAGTGCTGCCATGTCGCTGACGTCCAAAGCGCCGAGGAAACACTCATCGTCTTCGTCTTCGATACAGGCAGGACCGGCCTGTATCGTCTTGACACGCAGTCGGCGTCATTGTGCTTCCGGCCGGACTTGTACACAACGGTCATGTCGTACTCCTGCAGTCGTAGGCTCCACCGGGCGAGGCGTCCGGAGGGGTCTTTCAGATTCGCGAGCCAGCAGAGCGAGTGGTGGTCCGTGACCACGCGAAAAGGACTTCCATACAAATATGGGCGAAGCTTTGTTATTTCCCAGACGACAGCAAGGCACTCCTTTTCAGTTGTAGAGTAGTTCCTCTCCGCCTTAGACAGCGTCCGACATGGGTATGCGATAACTCGCTCTGCCCCGTCCTGCCTTTGAACTAGCACCGCGCCAAGTCCGGTGTTACTGGCGTCCGTGTGGATCTCTGCATCAGGGAACTGGTCGAAATAGCCAAGCATCGGGGACGTCTGGAGTCTTCGTTTCAGCTCATCGAATGACCGCTGGTGTTCTTCTGCCCATTCGAACTTTACGGCGTCCTTCGTGAGGTGCTTCAGCGGTGCGGACAGCTTGGCGAAGTCCAGAACAAATCGTCTGTAGTGGGCGCAAAGTCCGAGGAATCTTCTCACGGCCTTCTTGTCAGACGGAGGCGCAAATGCAGCTACGGCGCGGGTGTTCTCGGGGTCAGGGAGAACACCTTTGTTATTCACGACGTGGCCAAGGAATTTAAGTTCACCATAGGCGAATCGACACTGTGTTGGCTTGAGTGACAGGCCGGCGGCTTTGATGGCTTGAAGCACGGCTCGAAGTCGTTTCAGGTGCTTCTCGAAATGTCGTAAAAATACTACGACGTCGTCGAGGAATACGAGGCAGCTCTGCCATTTCAGACCTGCCAGCACGGTGTCCATGAGACGCTGGAAGGTGACTGGCGCTGTACAAAGCCCGAACAGCACCACTTTCAATTCGTACAGTCCGTCGGGAGTGACGAAGGCAGTTTTCTTCCTGTCACGTTCGTCGACTTTAATCTGCCAGGTCCATCGACAAAAAATATCGGGAGTGGCGCAGTCGGTCGAACGTATCATGGACGCGGGGGAGCGGATAGTCGCCCTTCTTCGTCACATCGTTCAGTCGACGATAGTCCACGCAGAACCGCAGGGTTCCGTCCTCCTTCTTTAAAAGGACGACTGGAGACACCCATGGACTTCTTGAGGGTTGAATGATGTCGTCATCGAGCATTTACTGGACTTGATCCGGAATCACCTTCCCATCCTTTAAGGAAACTCGATACGGCGACTGGTGGGCAGGGAGCGCGTCGTCGTCGCTAATAATGCCATGTTTCGACATTGCTGTTTGGCGAACTTTCGACGACGTGGCAATACAATCATTCTATTCGGCGAGGAGATCAATTAGTCGCCGGCGTTTAGGAGCTGGGAGCTCGGGGTCGACGTCGATCGAGGGCGGCGACATGCTGTTCTTCCGTGACGATGAGGTTTCTTCGGAGATTGCGGTGACCACGGCTGGCGCCTGAAGCTTCTCGATGTGGCCCACGGTGGTACCCTTCGTTAGGTGCTGCGGCTCCTCTCGGAAGTTTGTTACAGCTATACGTCCTTCTTGGAGATCCGTTACGCCTCGTGCGACGCCAATTCCTTTCTCAACGAGCAGTTGCACGCTGCCTTCCAGAAGAGCTTAAAGACGAGCTTTACCGTGCATGGCTGCGTTGGTTATGACTGTGATGAAAACACTCGAGCGCGGCGGTAAGTTCACATGGTCAGCGATAACTCGTATCGCGGTTGACGTCGTGTTGGTTTCCACCGGTGGTAAAACAGGCTTTCGCAGCGTCACCTGGTTTGCCCCGAGGTCGGTGACGGCGCCATACTCGCAGAGAAAGTCCATTCCGAGGATAACGTCCCTCGAACAGTCTTGCAGAACGACGAATTTCACAGGGCACGTCTCACCGTGGATCTCGACGCGAGCAGTGCATCTCCCGACTGGTGTGTTGAGGTGCCCTCCGGCGGTTCGTATTTGTGGTTCATCCCACGGCGTGGTGTATTTTTGAAGGCGGCGGGAGAGCCTCTCACTCAAGACTGAGTAGTCTGCTCCGGTGTCCACGAGTGCTGATGCGTCGTGGCCGTCGATGACGACGTTTAGGTTGTTGAACACCGTTGCAGGAGCGTCGTTTCGGTCTCTGGTAGCGTTCGAGTGGGGCCCTCCGACGTTCGTGGAGGATCTTGGCGTCGGTAGTCTTCGGCAACTCGACCTCCAGGGGTTGCCGCGCCTAGTTTCACCGGCGTGGAGCGAGGGGCGACAGGCTTTCACGTCGGGGTCGGTGCATCGGCGAAGCTGGACGTCGTGGCGAAAGCGACCGGAACTTTCCGCGGGACGCAGGCTCGGGTGACTGAGGTAGTCGCAGGTGCTCGTCGATCTCCCGAGGGCGTTCACCATACTGGGGGTGCGGGTCGTTTGGGTTGAATCCACGCAGCCCGAGACGTCGTTATGGGCATCGGCAGTACAGATGGTCAGCTTCCCCGCAGTGGTAACACAGCGGGCGTCGGTCGGCCGTCTTACAGATGTCAG